GATGGCAGTTCTGCCTTACATACAGATTCAACTTAAGAAACCCAGGCGTCCCCAAGTCAGCTGCTGCGGAAACTGACCAGCGGCTGATTCCAGGAAGCCTGGGGCAGAGCAACTCTGCCTCGGGCTTCCTGTAGTCAGCTGCTGGTCAGTTTCAGCAGCGGCTGAATCTGGACGCCAGTTCCGACTTACATACAAATCCAACTTAAGAACAAACCTACAGTCCCTATCTTGTATGTAACCCGGGGACTGCCTGTATTCATCATCAATTTTACTATGTATTTTAGAAATGCCCGTCTGTTTGTCCCACCCTGTGAGAGTCTGTTTGCTCAAGAACTCCTAAACAGTAAGAGCTAGGACCTCCAAATTTGGGATGCAGCTTCCTATTATCAGAACTTAAAGCCAGGTCAGGGTTTGGTTATGCCAGGACAGTGGGATGTAATTGAAATTTGATTCTTTCTCATAAATGGAATGGCAGGATCTGGCAGAAGGGACAGTTATACTGCAGAATGACCACTGAGGGCAGCAAAGGGCCAGATATAGGGACCGGGACAACTATTGAGTCAGCAGGGGGCAGCTATCTACTACTGTACATATTTCAGAGAGTTTTTTCTGTTTGTGTATCTCTGTCTGTGTGTCTGTCTGTACCCCTCTCAGCTGGAGGACATGCACCCCTCCCCGGCTGTGCTCATGGACAGGTGCTTCTCAGCTGGCTCCAAGCTGCAGCAGTGAGAGAGGGCTGGGGCTGTCCTCACTCCACAGGGGAGTCTGCATACTGAACCCCTCACTCTCAGAACAATGATTTAAATGAAGGAAAAACAAAACTTATTTGAATTAAGGACCCAAGCAATGCCAAATAAATCTTCTAGTAGACAGATATTAATGCACATTGAGAAAAAATAATCCCAACTATATATACACATAATATGATGGGGACTAATTTGGCTACATCTACTCAAAAGAAAGATCTTGGAATCATTGTGGATAGTTCTCTGAAAACATCCGCTCAGTGTGCAGCGGATATCTGGAGGAAATTGATCAACAGGTATAACCACCTCATCAGGAGATGATGAAGACTGATCAGTTGGTGAGACATCTGGTGGGTGCTGCTCCTCAACATCAGGTAGTTGACCCTTTTCCAGTTCTGAGTGATGAGTCGTAGAGGGAGCAGTGAGAGGTGTGACTGATATTTGCTGTCTATATGATGGTTGGGGAGAAAATGTAGGAGCACAAGAAGTTGAGTGGCTGTGGCAACAGGGGTGACTGTAACTGGAGTGATGATAATGATGACAAGCACAGGGGAAGCATGTAGTGATGTACCGGGAGGTGCGGAGAATGTGGGAAATGTGGTGAACCTCTTGAAGAAGGAAGCGGTGAATGAAAGGTATATCTTCTATAGGGTGACGGTGATAAATAACAACTGGACCTATGGTGTCTGGTTTGGTCCTGAAGGGTCTGACCCCTATCATCCCCTTTTAAGTGAGGTGAATAGGGAGAAGGTGGTGCAGAGGATGGTACCGGAGGGAAATGTCAATGGCTCCGGACTCAGCTGTCTCATAGGGTCAGATTTCTGGTTTGCTTTCTTCAGTGGCAGCGGCTGGATGGCACATACAGTGCTGACGTTGCCCACGCAGATGTCTGAGACAATGGTGATGATGCCGAGGTTAACAATGCCAAGGTTGATTGCACCGAAGTTGTCGGTGCTGATGTTGTCAGTGCCGTTGTAACAGGCACATGTATAGGCTGTGCCGACACAGATGGTATCGTTGTCGTCTGTGCTGTGATGGCTGATGCAGTCGCCAGCGGTGCCAAGCGGCGGCCCGTTACAACTGTTGACAGCACCGAAATAGATTTTTGCTGGGCTTTCGGCTCTGAGGCCGACTTATGCCTGGGTGCCATGTTTGTCATCCACACTTACATGGACCAAGAGGGCTGGTAGTAGGGAACAGGCTGGTGAAGCTCTTTTTTGAGCCGGAGTCAGCTGTGGAAAAACAGCTTTTCTTTTCTCAGCCCTAGGTGATCGCGGAGTGCATACTGGCTGTGATCGCTCCATGGGATATAATGCCTTGTCAAAAAGGAACATTTTTAGCCTCATTACTGTCCTTACATGCCTTAACAGTCAGTTTAGCACAGTGGATGCATTTTTGAGGCACATGTGCCTCACCAAAGCACTTATACAGTCGGCATGACCGTCTGATGCTGGCATTGCATCACGGCATGCAGCACACCTCTTAAAGCCGGGACAGCCTGGCAAAGCTGTTGATACTATCTACTAAGATAAAAGCCTTTTTTTAACTATGAACAAACTATAACTAGTAACTATAACTATTCAAACTATAATTAACTATAAACACTAATTTAAGATTTTATTTGATTCCTGACAGGGTTGTCTGAGGAGAGAGGGCTCACTCCAACTGCGACCATGGGCAACAAAAAAAGAACTGGCAGGAGCCGGACTGTGCGAGAGATCAAAATGGCGTGAATGGTGCAAAGAGCGTGCCAGGCATGTGCGGTCAGGCTGACTACTGCTCATGAAAACTCCAATCTGCAGTCCCGAAACGACCCAACACCAACAGTAGAGCACCCACGGAAACAGCACTCAAGGATGCAGGAATCAAAGGCTTGTACTCCCCTCAGCAGTCTGTGGATGGCCAGCAGCAGCATGGTTAGCCATTTAAGTCACAGAATGGTAGAAGCATTTGGGATCAGCGTGACAGCATATGAAGTGTTTTTTAAAATGCTTTTGCAAAGGCCTACACTTACTTCTGCTCTTAAACTGAAAGCCAGGAGCATGGCTGTTGGCTTATTTTGGATAAAAATTTGATCAAGCCAAATTACAATCTACTCACAAAATAGCAGCTTCTGAGCTGCTGTGCAATGAAGTCTGCCTGCTGGTGGTCAGCAGAAATCAGAATTTGTGACCATGCAACACTGGAATGGAGCATTATCATGGGGGGATATAAACTGTTCAGGAAGAACAGGCAGTGGAGAAAAGGAGGAGGAGTTGCATTTTATGTAAGAAAGCAGTATGATTGCTCAAAGCTCCAGTATTTAGAGGGAGAAAAGATTGTTGAGAGTCTGTGGGTTAAGTTTAGAGGTGGAAGCAACAGGAGTGATGTTGTGATTGGCGTCTGCTATAGACCACCGGATCAGGTGAATAAGGTAGATGAGGCTTTCTTTGGACAACTGAGAGAAGCTTCCAGATCACAGGCCCTGGTTCTCATGGGCAACTTTAATCACCCTGACATCTGGTGGGAGACCAGTACAGCAGTACACAGACAATCCAGGAAGTTTTCGGAGAATGTTGGGGATTACTTCTTGGTACAAGTGCTGAAGGAACCAACTAGGGGCCATGCACAGCTTGACTTCTGCTCACAAATAGGAAGGAACTAGTAGGGGAAGTAGAGTTGGGTGACAACCTGGGAAGCAGTGATCATGAGATGGTAGATTTCTGGATCCAGCCCAAAGGAAGAAAGGAGAGTAGCAAAATACACACCCTGGACCTCAGAAAAGCAGACTTTGACTCTCTCTGAGAACTGATGGGCAGATTCCCTGGGATGCTTACATGAGGGGAAAGGAGTCCAGGAGAGCTGGCAGTATTTTAAAGAAGCCTTAATAAAGGCATCGAAAAAAAACATCCCGATGCGCATCAAGAAAAGTGAATATGGTAGGCGACCAGATTCGCTTACCGGGGACATCCTTGGTGAGCTTAAACACAAAAAGAAAGCTTTCAAGAAGTGGAAACTTGGACAGTTGACTAGGGAGGAGTATAAATATATTGCTCAAGAATGCAGGGGAGTTATCAGGAAGGCGAAAGTGCAATTGGAAGTGCAGCTAGCAAGGCATGTGAGTGAGAACAAGAAAGGTTTTACAGGCATGTTAGGAATAAGAGGGTGATCAGAGAGGGCGTGGGGCCCTTACTGGATGAGGGAGGTAACCCCTGTGTCTCCCCTGCCACCTCCCCATACCGTTTTGCTTGCCTGCTCCACCCTGAACCAGCACTAGGCAATACAGTATGGGAAGGAAGTGTACAGCCCTTTGTGGGGAAAGAACAAATTAGGAACTATTTAGAAAAGCTAAGTATCAGAGGGGTGGCCGTGTTAGTCTGAATCTGCAAAAGCGGCGAGGAGTCCTGTGGCACCTTATAGACTAACTGAAGTGTAGGAGCATAAGCTTTCGTGGGCAAAGACCCACTTCATCAGAAATAGCAGGCATCTGACAAAGTGGGTCTTTGCCCACGAAAGCTTATGCTCCTACACTTCAGTTAGTCTATAAGGTGCCACAGGACTCCTCGCCGCTTTTAGAAAAGCTAAACATACAGAAATTCATGGGTCCGGATTTAATTTATCCGAGGGTACTGAGGGAGTTGGCAAGTGTCATTGCGGAGCCTTTGGCCATTATCTTTGAAAACTCATGGAGATTGGGAGAGATCCCAGATGATTGGAAAAAGGCAAATGTAGTGCCCATCTTTAAAAAAGGGAAGAAGGACAATCCAGGGAACTACAGACCAGTCAGCCTTACCTCAGTCCCTTGAAAAATCATGGAGGGGATCCTCAAGAAATCCATTTTGAAGCACTTGGAAGAGGGGAAAGTGATCAGAAACAGTCAACATGGATTTACAAAGGAAAAGTCATGTCTGACCAATTTGATTAGCTTCTATGATGAGGGCAATGGGCTCTGTAGATATGAGAAAGTCAGTGGATGTGATTTTAACATTCCTATGGTGGGAAGAACACCTCAGCAGTCCAAAACTCTGGCATTTAATTTCAAAAAGGGGAATTACACAAAAACGAGGAGGTTAGTTAAACAGAAATTAAAAGGCACAGTGACTAGAGCCAGATCCCTGCAAGCTGCATGGAAACTTTTTAAAGACACCATAATAGAGGCCCAACTTAAATGTATACCCCAAATTAAAAAACATAGCAAGAGACCTAAAAAAGAGTCACCGTGGCTTAACCACCATGTAAAAGAAGCAGTGAGGGACAAAAAGGCATCTTTTAAGAAGTGGAAGTCCAATCCTAGTGTGATAAACAGAAAAGAACATAAATCAAGTGTAAAAATGTAATAAGAAAAGCAAAAAAAGATTTTGAGGAACAGCTAGCCAAAAACTCAAAAAGAAATAACAAAATGTTTAAGTACATTAGAAGCAGGAAGCCTGCTAAAAAACCTGTGGGTCCCCTAGACGATCGAGATATAAAAGGAGCAATCAAGGACAATAAAGCTCTTGTGGAGAAACTAAATGATTTCTTTGCTTCAGTCTTCACAGCTGAGGACGTTAGGGAGATTCCCAAATCTGCACCGTCCTTTGTGGGTGATGAATCAGAGGAACTGTCCCGGATTGAAGTATCATTAGAGGAGGTCACAGTGTGCAGCAGCAGTCAAAAAGGCAAATAAGATGCTAGGAATTTTTAAGAAAGGGGTAGAAAATAAGACACAGAATATCTTACTGCCCCTGTATAAAACTATGGTACGCCCACAGCTTGAATACTGTGTACAGATGTGGTCTCTTCACCTCAAAAAAGTTATTTTGGCCTTGGAAAGGGTTCAAAAAAGGGCAACTAAAATGATTAGGAATTTGGAACGGGTCCCATATGAAGAGAGGTTAAAACTACTGGGACTTTTCAATTTAGAAAAGAGGAGACTGAGGGGAGATATGATAGAGGTATATAAAATCATGAGTGGTGTGGAGAGAGCGAATAAAGAAAAGTTATTTATTAGTTCCCATAATAAAATAACTAGAGGACACCAAATGAAGTTAATGGGTAGCAGGTTTAAAACTAATAAAAGAAAGTTCTTCTTCACACAGCGTGTAGTCAATCTGTGGAACTCCTTGCCAGAAGAGGCTGTGAAGGCTAGGACTATAACAGAGTTTAAAGAGAAGCTAAATAATTTCATGGAGGTTAGGGCCATAAAAGGCTATCAGCCAGGGGATAGAAATGGTGTCCCTGGCCTCTGTTTGTCAGAGGCTGGAGAAGGATGGCAGGAAATAAATCACTTGATTATTGTCTTCAGTCCACCCTCTCTGGGGCACCTGGTGCTGGCCACTGTTGACAGACAGGCTACTGAGCTAGATGGACCTTTGGTCTGAGCCAGTACAGCCATTCTTATATTGGTCAGACTTTAGCCAAGCTTTTGATACGGTCTCCCACAATATTCTTGCCAACATTTAAGGGAATACGGATTGGCTAAATGGACTCTACGATGGACAGAAAGCTGGCTAGACTGTCGGGCGCAACGGGTAGTGATAAACGGCTTCATGTCAGGTTCGCAGTCGGTTTCTAGTGGAGTGCCTCAAGGATCTGTTCTTGGTCCGGTTTTGTTAAACATTTTTATTAATGACCTAGATGAGGGGATGGATTGCACCATCAGCAAGTTTGCCGATGACACTAATCTGGAAGGAGAGGTAGATATGCTGGAGGGCAGAGATAGGGTCCAGAGTGACCTGGACAGATTAGAGGATTGGGCCAAAAGAACTCTAATGAGGTTCAACAAGGACAAGTGTAGAGTCCTGCACTTGTGATGGAAGAATCCCAAGCACTGTTAGGACCTGCAGAAAAGGACCTGGAGATTACAGTGGATGAGAAGCTGGATATGAATCAACAGTGTGCCCTTGTAGCCAAGAAGGCTAATGGCATATTGGGGTGCATTAGGAGGAGCATTGCCAGTAGATCTAGAGAAGTGATTATTCTTCTTTATTCAACTCTGGCGAGGCCACAACTAAATTACTGTGTCCAATTATGGGGCCCCCACTATAGAAAGGATGTGGATGCATTGGAGAGGTTCCAGCGGAGAGCGACCAAAATGATTAGGGGGCTGGAGAGCATGACCT